GTAACGGGTCAAACTATTTTGGAACTTTTAAACTGGCATTATTTGTCAGAGGCTTTCTTAATTTTAGTTTTTGTGATGCAGGGTCTGGCTGTTGGTGGTGGTGATGGTGGAGTTCTTAGGGAAATTTCTTGCCATAGTTCCACAGAGCAAATTGAAATTTGTGAAATAGATGAGATGATCATAGATTTACGTGGTATTTTTTGCAGCATTTTTCTCCTTTATCTATGCGTTCATTCATCTCTGCATGAGCATGTTAAAGAGTCCTTAACATTTTTATTCTATTCCAGGTATCTAAAATTTTTTTTCCAGAACTATCTCTTGGATTGGAGGATCCTCATGTCCAACTACATGTTGGTGATGGTATGTTTACAGTATATCACTTGATATTTTATGTCCAAATATTTGTGTGCTAATTTCACTTGAATGGTCGAACGTATGGTCTCATGACCTTATCTGGGATATTAACAGCTGTTGAATTTCTTCGGCAAGTTCCAGAAGGGAAGTATGACACGGTTATTGTCAATTCTTCAGACCCTGTAGGTATGTTAAAATATCTGGTCCATTGAAATATTTTATTTTTGGTAAGGTTTTGCAAATGTATAACGTCAAAGCATTTAATAATACTTCAGCCAGAAAAAAGAATCAGCTATGATGGCATGTATGCATCTTTGTATTAATTTGTTGTTCATCAGAAGTAATGTCGTGGATCCACTTGGTAATTAATTTTGCAAGAATACAGAGGATTTTAAAACCATGACATCTGCAATGTTCTCCTTTTTCTTTTTAAGTGTATATACATGGCTAATGGCTTGTCATCTTTTAAATTCTCACTAGTTCAGCATTTGTTTGTGATTCAGGTCCAGCTCAAGAGCTTGTAGAGAAACCATTTTTTGATACCATAGCTAGAGCCTTAATGCCTGGTGGTGTCCTTTGTAATATGCCTGAAAGTATGTGGCTTCATACACATCTAATGCAAGATATGATCTCTATTTGCCATGAAACATTCAAGGGTTCAGTCCATTATGCATGGGCAAGTGTTCCAACAATTCCAAGATATTGTCATATTATGTTGTCTCTTTTTCTTTCTGTACTTAATCTATTTATGATAAAAGCTAGTGGTGGTGTTAAATCAAAATGGATTATTTACTTTTGCTGCATGGGTATTCGAACCTTTAGCCCTACTAGTGCCACGCATACCAAGAAACTACTCTGTCCAGTGTCCACAAGCACTGGATAATACTCCACCCAAAGGTGGGACGTGGTCCATTGTGATTGCTGTTTACCAACATGCTGATGGAGGGATATGAACTTGTGTTTTCCACGTGGTTCACATCCTTAGCCCTTTGTTCAACCCCAGAGGGTTACTTTGCCTTGGGTTTTGTTTTTCTGCTGGACAATCTGTTAAACATATTTCACTTTCATTTCTCTTTCCATGCAGTGGTCTCATTGGCTTTCTAATATGCTCCACAGAGGGTCCGCCTATTGATTTCGTGAATCCCATCAATCCTATTGAGAAATTAGGAGTTGTCAAGCACAAAAGGGAACTCAGGTTTTATAACACTGAGTTAAGATCACTGCATTCTTAACTTTTTTATTTGATAAACAATTCTCTAAATGCTTACTGTGTTCTTAATGGAAATCTTTATGGATGTGAGAAATTTCCATGCTTTCCTTTTTGTATGTTGATGTTTTTGCCAACCAGATAATTTCATCTTTAGTTAAGGGAAGGTAATAAAAATCATAACTCGTGTTCATATCAAACAGATACAATTATCCCTTTTGTAATGTGTTATCCTTGGTCATATGAAATTAAATTTACATTTACAGTTTATGGCCTCACAAATTCTTGTGGTAGAAGTGTGACATTGTGTTCTATCAACAGATGCACAGAGCTGCTTTTGGATTGCCTACATTTCTGAAGAGGGAGGTGAGGTTGCCTTGTGATTCCACAACCCTGGCAGGAGGAATCTGCATCTCTTAGTGAAGTTTTATCAACTGTTATTTTTATTTGACTTCTCATAGATGTTGTTAGACAAAATAGATAATAATCATCTGAATTCCCAAAAAATAGGCTTCAGTGAGAAGCTATAATCTAGTATGTATTGCAGTTTCTCCCAACAGTTAACTAGTCATGCTGTTATATGCTTGCCATGTGGAAAACATGTGTTTAAAAGTATTTTCCTTCTATTCTCTTCAATTCGGAGATTTCCACTCCGAAATTAACCTCATCTCATTCTATGTCCGAGTTCGTTTCTTACTTGACGACTCTACTTTTCTGCAATTTAGAGCTAAACCAGCCAGCAGGCGCCGTCACCAGAGAAAAGATAAGAGGTAGCAAAGAAGGGGAATGTTGTAATCGAGAAAAAAAGCAGACAGAGAATACAAAGATGAAGATGATGATGATGATGTGAATAAGGAGACAGGTGAGATCGGTGGCCCTAGAGGCCCTCAGCCTACTCGTTGCTGCTATGATTTATAAAATATTTCATCAATTTAGCCTCATATTATTTTGATCTGAAGTCAATTCAGACTTCCAAATCCAAGCTTCAAGCAGCATCTTCTGTTTTTCATCAATAATGGATATTCTCTTTTATTTTTTATTATTTATTAATGTAAAGTTATGATTATGTCCTTCATTTCATTAATAGTATAAATTAATGATTCATTTAGCATGAGATTTTGAGCAATTTTTCTTGATCTTGTTTCTCGTCATTGTTTGTTTGTTTCCCTTAAATTAATTTGGGAAACAATTCTTCTTCTGAGTTCAGACATTCTTCTTTGTTACCATTTACACACTTTACCTTCAGTTTATGAAGAACTAATTTCATCTCCATTGCTGCATAACCATAGATGTTTTTATAATTTCATCTATGCATTTAGGTGGTAGGTGTACATTGCTTCTTTTCTAGCCCTTTTAGCATTAATGAATATTATGTGTTTAATCTGTTATATCCATTAATGAATGTTGAACTTGAACAATCCTATTTGGTTAATTGAAAATATGCAAGAACAAAAGTCTAAGTATGATATTCAAACAATAAATGGTATGCTGAACCCTGCTATGACAGAGGGTTAGGAAGCATGGCCAAACTTCAATACATTTTACAAAAAAAAAAAAAAAAAGGAAAAAAAAAGTATAGTTTTGAAGTAGCCATTTTCTAAGTCTACAATGCTAGATATTGGCATATAAGTAGCACTTGCCAAGAGTAAAATTTACCTAATAATACATTTGGTTGAGACCATTAAGTCCTTGCATCAAGAGACATTGTTGGCATGGCTGCTAGACTTATACTAGCATGATCTGCAGTTGGCAATTCAGAAGGAAATAAACAAGGCCTGAGAGGCATTTTTAGGAGCTCAATTTCACTCTCAAGCATCTCCAATACTTTGGTCATTGAAGGGCGAACGACAGGTTTCATCTGTATGCACCATAAGGCAACTATGACCATCTTCTTCACAATATTCTTTTCAACATTTGTAACATCTCCCAAATCTATATCCTCACCTCGATCAAATTGATCATAAATCCATGTTTGGAAGTATACCTCACTTGATTGATTCACATATTCTTTAAAGTTCCTTCTCTTTCCTACCATTTCCATCAACAACATTCCAAAACTATAAACATCAGCCTTGTATGAGACACCTCCAATATTCTTATAGAATAACTCTGGAGCAATATATCCTGGTGTTCCTCTTGCTGCTGTAAGAGATACAAAACTGTCATCTATAGGATACAGTTTTGCAAGGCCAAAATCAGAAACTTTTGGATTAAAATTATCATCCAAAAGGATATTGTGAGGCTTGATGTCAAAATGTAAAATCTGCATTTCACATCCCCTATGCAAGTATTCAATCCCCCTAGCCACCCCAAGAGCAATCTCGAACATTTTTTGCCAACTTAAAGACGTATTGCTGTGGGTTGAAAATATGATTTTGTCCAAAGACCCATTCGGCATGAAGTCATATACTAAGGCTTGCTTAGATCCTTCAACACAAAATCCAATCAGTTGCATGACATTAGCATGATGAATCCTTCCCATGGTAGCAACTTCATTGATGAAATCTTGGCCATTACCTTTCGACGTGCTCAGTAATTTTATTGCTACAAAATGGCCACTTCGAAGCTTCCCTTTGAAAACTGAACCATAACCTCCTTGACCCAATTTATTCTTGAAACTTCCAGTGATCTTCTTTATTTCTAAATATGTGTATCTAATAGGCATGAAGTTATTCTGCCTCCGAAGAAACTCTTCAATTGTATCATCCACAGACAAATGTCTCCTCCTCAATTTGTACACAATGATTGCAAGCAAGATGGAAATCCCAAGCAGAGCTCTAGCTAATATAAGTGCTCCTTCTCAAGAAAAAAGATAGACACATATTAGTATATACAAATCTATAATCCTCTCCCATGAAAATGAATAATGTTTTCAATTCATTTAAAGAATTTATCAAACTATTCTAGTTTGTTTTCTTCTTAAGGAACTATATAGTGTAAATACGACGAGTGTGTCAATGATAATTTAAAACACATACACTAGAAGAGCTCTTCAAATGACATAAAACTAGGCCTTAATTTATTCTTAATTTATCTTCACAAGTTGAATGCTTTTCTGGAAATTTTCTGCTATTTGCATATAAAACCTTTATACTATTTTCCATCTACAAATATTTTAGATTCCAACATTAACTAAGAAATTATGTATAAACTTTTTTTTTTCTCTCAAATATAAGCAGAGGCATACCTGTTGTTAGAAGACATATGATATATGTTCCTGTTGGCAAAAAAAAAATGCCAATGTTATAGAAACAGACAAACAGTCATATATTTAGGTGGGGAAATCAAAATAAAATTATAACATTAATAAAAATTATATATTAAGACATACTATGTGGTGGAAATTTCGTATTATGCTTTACATGGGGGCCGCCCAGAAGGAAAAATATAAAGCTGTCCAGAAAATTATCCAACGCATACTCCACTGATTGTAATCTACAACGTTAAACAAAGCCCAGTGAAGTGATATAAGGTCAAATACAAAGGTAAGAAAAGAAAAAAAATGAAAGGATGTTGAGAAGTTAAGAGGATCAAAACAGGGTATTCTTCTTCCTATTCTGCATAAAGTGAAGATGTTGACAAGTTTCTGAATACTTACATCCGCTTCAATGTAATTTTGTCTTCCAGCACGAAGCAGTTGTCGCACAAAGACCAAGTGATTTCATAGTCCTCTAGCAGCTTATGATAGATATCAGAAGCAGTGAAGCCTGTGATATTAGA